TAGAATAGAATAGAATAGAATAGAATAGAATAGAATAGAATAGAATAACAGAGTTGGAAAGGACCTTCAAGGTCTTCTAGTCCAACCCCCAGAGTATAAGAATATGTCTTATACCCTGATCAAACACTTCCTATTCATTATCTAACTACTGATGCTTTGAGAGAAAAACAGTAGCAGCTGTTTATTTAATCATACCAACCAAAGAGACAACCGAATACACTGAATAGAAGCATTATAGACCTTATTGGCTTAATATGACTATACAGGTGGCCCTTGACTTACAACCATTTGTTTAATGACTGTCCATAGTTAAAACAGCACTGAAAAAAGTGACTTATGACCAGTTTTCACACTTATGGCCATTGCAGCACCCCCACAAGCACATGATCACATTTTGGGTGTTTGGCAACTCGCACGTATGTATTTATGATGGTTGCAGTGCCCCAAGATCCTGGGATTCGCATTCGCAACTTTCTTAGGGAGCTTCTGACAAGCAAGGTTCATGGAGGAATCCATATTCGCTTAATGACCACACAATTTACTTAACAAGTTCAGTGATTTGCTTAACAACCATGGCAAAATGTCATAAACCCGGGCATGACTCACTTAACAACTGCCTTGCTTAGCAATGGAAATTTTGGGCTCAATTATGGCCGTAAGTCAAAGATTACCTGTCTTAGTAAAAAAAAAAAAAAAGCAATGCATTGCTGAATTAGATCCCTAGCTCATTTAGTCCAACAGTTTGTTCTCACAGTGGCCAATTAACTGCACAAGGAAATCTACTGGTCTCCTGGCAGATGGCTTTCAGAAACAATCTTGCTGCCATCAAAGCTAATAACCATTAATCCACATTACTCACTGCATTAAGCTCAGTGTCCTTTATATTAGTTTAGAATTAGAAAGCTATCAGATTACATGTATTGATCAAGACAATGTCTGTCATTTTGTTAATTCTGACCACTAAAAAGCTAAAAGCAGAAACTTATTCCAATAACACATACTAGATCACTTAAAGTTCTACATGAAGATCATATCGAGCAGTGGTCTCCAACCTTGGCAACTTTAAGACTTGTGGACTTCAATTCCCAGAATTCCTCTGCCAGCAAAGCAAAGCTGGCTGAGGAATTCTGGGAGTTGAAGTCCACAAGTCTTAAAGTTGCCAAGGTTGGAGACCCCTGATATAGAGCAGGGGTGTCAAACTCAAGGCTCAAGGATCCGGTCCACGGGGTGCTTAGATCTAGCCCACGGGGCTGCCCTGGAAACAGCAAAGGACCGGCACACGGTGCTTCTGCCAGCAAAAGTGGAGGCTGCAGGAGGCCATTGCAGCCGAAAATGAAGCTTGGGAGTTTGCTTTTGCTAGCAGAGTACTCAGACCACCACAGGTGCCCCCGACACAAGTGACATCAAGCTGGCCATGTTCCCCTGGCCACATCCACTCCCCCCCCAAGGTCAAACATGGCCCTCCATGAAATTGAGTTGGATACCCCAATGTAGAGTTTAGTGAAAAGAAGGAATACAGGTGTCATGGTAGCCGCATTTCAATATTTGAGAGGATGCCACAAAGGAAAAGGGGCCAACCTATTTTCCAGAGCACCTGAAGGCAGGACAAGAAGCAATGGATGGAAACTAATCAAGGAGAGATCCAAACTAGAACTAAGGAGGAATTTCCTAACAGTGAGAACACTCAGCCAATAGAATAGCTTGCCTATGGAAGTTGTGGATGCTCCATCAAGGACTGGAGGCTTTTAAGAAGAGATTGGACAGATAGTTGTCCAAAATGTTATACGGTCTCCTGCTTGTACAGGGGCTGGGCTAGAAGATCTCCAAGGACCCTTTCATTTCCATTATTCTGCAGTAATTTTTTTTTGAGTTAGTTCCCCTATTAGCAACCTCGATCATCTGGAAATTAAGGAAGAAAGTGAAATTTCCTGGATGAGAGGATTTCAGCAGACAGCGCTTTAAATAGGAGCCAGTAGCCCGCAGCTATCAAAACCACCGATGCAATCTTGGGTGGGATCAACAGAGGTACATTGTCAAAATCAAAGGAAATTGATTGTTCCACTTCGCGGCACAAAGGAGACCACACATGGAATACTGAAGCCAGTTCTCAACACCACAAGAAGGACACCAAAGAATCAGAAGACGCACGGAGAAGAGTGACAGTGAGCCGCTTGAAAGTTAAATCCTATTAACAATGGTCAAAGAAACTAGATAGGTTTCAACTTAAGAAGGGAAAGCTAAGAGAGGATGTGACACCAGCCTTTTAATACTTGAAGAGTTGTCACAGGGGAAAGGATGTGCATTTATTTTCCACAGCTCCAAGGCTAGGTCAAAAAAAACAAAGGCAGAAAACTTTACCAAAGAGAGCCAAATCTGAAATAAGGAATTTCCTGACAGTGATAGCTATCCTGGAGTCCTGGTAGCTTCATCACTCAGGTTTTCAAACCAAAATTGAGCAAAACTTTGACTGAGGAAATAGGAATATTCCTGCCATGGGTTGGACTAGAAGGCCTCTGAGTTCCTTTTCAACTCTATAATCAGGGGTGGGATTCTACGGGTTCTGTCCACTTCTGTAGAACCAGTTGCTCTGAAAAGCAGCAAACAGAGAGCATACACAGAACCGGTTCTATGTCTGCTGCTGTTTTGGCCCACCCGTCCGCCCGGGCTCTTACCTGACCTTTATTTCCTGCTTTTTCAACCGCAGCTGCTTTGCGCGACACAGCTGCGGTTGAAAAAGCAGGAAAAAAGGGCTTTTTCAACCTCTGCGCACTGGCACGCAGCGCTGCTCAGCTGTCCAGGCAGTTAGATGACGATGATATACACGTGTGCGCAGCGCATGTCAGGCAAAATGTAAACTCACCGAACCGGTAGTTACACCGGTCGGATCTTACCCCTGTCTATAATTCTGTGATAAAGTTTCAGAGAAGAGCAGGCAGTCTCATTAGAGTAGTTGGTGGTGTTGCATTGCACTTATCTTAAATACTTGCTGAGAAGGGCTTATGACAATTCACTACAGCCATTCACCATGGCCAACTTGTTACAGCCAACTTGCCACGGCCAAGTTGCTGCAGCCAACGCACCATGGCCAACTCATTGCAGGAGAACTCACTGCAGGACAAGAGTTACACTGATACCAAAGAAATGGTGGAACAGAATCATGAAAGAAAAGATGCAAAAGAAGAAACAGAATAAAATGTGAATGGCAAAAAATTAAAATATTTTTTAATTTATTTTAAATAATTAAATAGAATTGCTAAATTGTGCCACAGCAAGTTGGCCATGGTGAGTTGGCTGCAGCGAGTTGGCCAGGACAAGTTGTCCCATTCCTTCCTGAGAAAGATATCTGATGATCGAGGTCTGTTAAATAATGAGAATTAACAATGGCACTAGCAATAGCACTTAGATTTATATACTGCTTTACAGTACTTTCCAGCCCTCTCTAAGCGGTTTACAGAGTCATCCTATTGCCCCCAACAATCTGGGTCCTCATTTTAGAAGGTCGTAAAAATTGATCACATGACCCCCGGACCGTGCAACAGTCATAAATTTGAAACCGTTGTCAAGCCTCTGAATTTTGATCACATGATTATAGGGATGCTGCAAAGGTCATCAATGTTGAAAACGGTCATAAGTTACATTTTTCAGTGTCGTTGTAACTTCACATGGTCACTATATGAATTGTTGTAAGTTGAGGACTATCTGTATAGAAATATTTTTTTAAAAAAATCAATCAATCATCAATATAAATAAATAAATAATAAATGGGCAGCAGGACACAATGTTTAACTTTCTTATATAACTTTCATAACAAACATTACAGCAAAAAAAATATATATGCAGAATCTACCTAGGCCCATATGTATATGACATGATTTTTTTTTTCAGTATTAGAAAGACTGGCTTTTTAATTGTCATATTTTTCCA